GTTTCATTTTTTTTAATTTAGAAGTGATTTTATAGCACACAGATATTTCTATCCATAATCATTTTTATATATATATATATATATTTTTTTTTTTTTGAAAGTGTTCAAATATTTTTATTTGTTCCCATTTTTTTAATTTAAAAATATTTTTAAAATGCATAAATATTTCAATTTGTCTCATTTTTAAATTTAAAATGATGTAATAGTGCATACACATTTGTTCCCATTTTATATTTTCAAAGTTGGTATATATACGTTATTTTTTAAATTTAAAAGTAATTTAAAAATGCACAAATAGACATATGTTTCCATTTTTAATTTAAAACTGAACAAATATATTTAGGTCTAATTTTTAAAAAATTTAAAAGTAATTTAAAAGTTCACAGATTCTAACCTCCATTTTTTAATTTGAAATTGGACACATATCAATCAATCATATTTTAAATTTAAAAATGATTTATAAGTGTACAGATAGACATATGTCCTCAATTTTAATTTGAGAGTGAAAAGATACCAATTTTTAATTTGAAAGTAAATAGATAAATCTAATTGTCTTTTTTTTTCTTTTTTCAATTTTTTGCTTTAAAAATCTCATAAAAGTGAATCCAAGTATATACCTTTATTGCAAACCGGACAATGATATTAAAATTATGAAATTTTAAAATTCAATACAAAATATGAATGAAAACTTTTAGAAGGTTGGCTGTTGTAAGAAAAGACATATTTAACCTCATGAGATTGGCTTGGCAATTAGGACCTTGGTTGGAAGTGTGTTCCTTCCAAGATTTTAAGTTCGAAATCTCATGTGTGCAAAGCAAACAATTTGTTGGGGCCAAGTCCGTATAGGACAACCTTAGCTTTAATCGCGACCCTCACAAGTGAACTGTGAGGAAAGAAGAAAAAAAAAAACGGGGTATGCTTGGAATGGAAAATATGGTTATCAAATTTTTCTTAAAATGGGTTTGAGAATCACAACAAAACAAACAAATTATTAGGGGCTTAAAATGAAGTTGTAAGGTCAGATCTTGAAGGAAAAGTGGAACACAGACTTTGATTCAGGATGATTAATGATACAATTCAAGATAACATTGATGACAACTAGATTTGGTAAGTTAATAAAAAGTTACTTTTGACTTTTTTGATTAATATTTGTTTATGATGTCAAATCACAATGAAATGACTAAATTACCCCATTCAATTTAAAATATTTACAATTTCACCCATGTAACATATTTTGACCCATGAGGAGTAGAATTGTGGTTTCACCAATAGCTAAAAACTAACTTTTCAAATGTCCTAAATACAAAAAAGCTAACTTTTAACTTTTGTTACAAATTAAAAAAAATGACTGAAAACTATGTTCTCAAAAGAGGCCAAAATTGAAATTCAAAGCCAAAATAATCTTCCTTTGAGAAAAGAAGCAACCCAAACTGTCGAAAAATGCATTGGCCTTGTTTGGTTTGTGTTTGGTACAGTTTTTAAGAGATAATTATAATTCATTTTAATTTGAGAGTTTGTATCATGTTATTTAGTATAATTTTTTTTGGTAACTTATTAGATAAAAATAACTTCAATATGTTAAAAAATTAATTATTTAAAAGTTAAAAAACGAATACTTTTAATTTTGACTCTCTAATTATTAACTTTTAATTTAAAAAAAAAAATCACCAAACAGGCCAAAGTTATGATTGGGCGTTTCTATGATTGGGCAGATCCATGACATGATATACATTGATCAGCCGTGCTGGGGACCCCCAGTTGGGGGTGACCCCCAGCACCCCCACTCCACGTGGGAGGCTGTGGACCAAGTAAAAATAAAAAAAAAAAAAAAAAATTCAACCAATCACGTGCTGCCACATCAGCTAGGGGTCACTGGGGGTGCAAATCATTTTTCATACATTGATTGTGTTAAGGCTATTGGTGCGTTTAAAGCCTTACAATTGGAAGGGAGCTGGGGCTTCTTGATGTTCATCATGAAGGTGACTCCTAGGGGTGGTTTGACAATTGGGTTGATTTTTGGACTTTTTAATTATTTTAATTTGGGATTAAAATTTTTTTTTAGAAAGAGCATTTTGATTTTTTTTGACTTTTTATGAGATAAAGAATATAATAATTATAGGTTAGATGTGATGTTTTGGGGTGCCTCTATTTACACACTACATCTGGTCTCAAGGCACACCACTACTCAGTTCACACCTTTAATAATTTGAAAAAACATATAGCTTGTTTGGTTCTGATTTTCAAAAAATTATATTTTTTTATTTTTCGTATTTTAATGTTTTCAATGAATTTTTTTTAATGTTTTAGCAAATTTTTTTTAAAATTTTTAGACACACCTAACATAATACACTTAAAAAGTATAATATTTGTGAAAAATATTTTTAAAAATTAAAAAATATACAAAAATACGAAAATTGTATTGAATTTTCATTTTTTTTGTATTTTTTGGTATTTAGTATATTTTTTAAATATTTTTTTCATAAATATTATACTTTTTAAGTATATTTATATTAAGTGTGTCTAAAAATTAAAAAAAAAATTGTTTAAAACATTAAAAAAATTCATTGAAAATATTAAAATACAAAAAATAAAAGGGTAAAATTTTTTGAAAATCTGTTTTCTGAAAATCAGAACCAAACAACCTGTATGTTTTTTCAAATTATTAAATGTGTGAACTAAGTAATGGGTTGCTTTAAGACCAAATATGGTGTGTAAATAGAGTTACCCGATGTTTTGTCTTATTGGATTAAAAAGTCTATTTTACCTTTTTGTGACTAAAATAGCCCCAAACCCAACCCAACCAATCTTCCCAAACAAAGCCTAAATGTTAGAAATTCATGTGTTGATTTTAATAGGTAAATTTATTGTTTAACAAGTCTTATAATAATTAATGGTATTTTTCATCAAATATTATTAAAAAATGTCACTAATTGTTAATTTTTAGGGACAATTTAAAAATTTTGCCACAAAAAATGTTATTAATTATAACTTTTAGCGACAGTTTAAAAAATCATCACAAAAAAGTCACTAATTTTTAACTTTCAAATTGAAAAATTCGTCACAGAAAAATATCACTAATTATAAGTTTTAGGGATGATTTATTAAAATCGTGACAATAAAAGTCACTAATTGTTAATTTTTAACGATATATGTAAAAAGTCGTCATAAAAAATTATTTTTAACGATAATTTTACTAAAATTTATTTTCAATAGAACTTAATAAGAATTAAGTCTAATTATTAAGATATATTAATAGTTTATCCTAAATGATATTCAGGCTATTAAGGATAAAGATGATAATTTGTGTACATAGACAATAAAGACAACCTAATAGTATAGATATATAGTTGGTCAACGTAAGTTAAAATAACTAATAAAAATAAAATAGATTAAAATAATTAATAAGATAAAATATCACATTTATAATATAATTATTTCATTTTTTTTCTCATAATCATCAAATCAATTATAAAAAAGCCAACTATCAAGCCAAACAAAACTTTTGAAAAGTAGATTAAAAGCTAATTTTTTTATTTTTTATATAAAAAAAAGGGTAAAAAAATAGAGAGATAATGTGACTAAAAAAAAATTAAAAGTCAAAAAATTACTTTTAACCTCTTTGCCAAAAGAGAAAACTAACTATCATTCCAAACATAATTTTTTTATTTAGGTTAAAATAGTTTATTATCAAATGGGGCCATAATTCTCTCTCAATCCCATTTTGTTGTCCACCTATATTTTGATCCGTTTTAAAATGTTTGTCCACTTTTTATTTTGAGATACTGAATTTTATTAGATTTTCAAAGCTACAAATCATTATAAACACATTTTAAAATTCAAATAAAAGGGTAGTAGTGATAAAAACGTTTCAAAATTTAAATCAAAGCTTAATAATTGTATGACTCCGTAATAAGTTGGATTTCTTAAAATGAGCAACTAAATTAGGATGAGGGGAGTAATTTGTAAAATGGACAGACATATCAATTTGAAAAATATTTAAAAGGTGCATAGATATATATGTTTCATTTTTTTAATTTAGAGATGATTTAATAGTACACAGATATTTCTATCCATGACCTCTTTTTTTTTTTTTTTTTGAAAGTGTTCAAATATTTTTATTTGTTCCCATTTTTTAATTTAAAAATATTTTTAAAATGCATAAATATTTCTATTTGTCTCCTTTTTAAATTTAAAATGATTTAATAGTGCATACATATTTGTTCCCATTTTATATTTTCAAAGTTGGTATATATACGTTATTTTTTAAATTAAAAGTAATTTAAAAATGCACGACTCATATGTTTCCATTTTTAATTTAAAACTGAACAAATATATTTGGGCCTAATTTTTTAAAAATTTAAAAGTAATTTAAAAGTTCACAGATTCTAACCTCCATTTTTTAATTTGAAATTGGACACATATCTATCAATCATTTTTTAAATTCAAAAATGATTTATAAGTGTACAGATAGACATATGTCCTCAATTTTAATTTGAGAGTGAAAAGATACCAATTTTTAATTTGAAAGTAAATAGATAAATCTAATTGTCTTTTTTTTTCTTTTTTCAATTTTTTGCTTTAAAAATCTCATAAAAGTGAATCCAAGTATATACCTTTATTGCAAACCGGACAATGATATTAAAATTATGAAATTTTAAAATTCAATACAAAATATGAATGAAAACTTTTAGAAGGTTGGCTGTTGTAAGAAAAGACATATTTAACCTCATGAGATTGGCTTGGCAATTAGGACCTTGGTTGGAAGTGTGTTCCTTCCAAGATTTTAAGTTCGAAATCTCATGTGTGCAAAGCAAACAATTTGTTGGGGCCAAGTCCGTATAGGACAACCTTAGCTTTAATCGCGACCCTCACAAGTGAACTGTGAGGAAAGAAGAAAAAAAAAACGGGGTATGCTTGGAATGGAAAGTATGGTTATCAAATTTTTCTTAAAATGGGTTTGAGAATCACAACAAAACAAACAAATTATTAGGGGCTTAAAATGAAGTTGTAATGTCTGATCTTGAAGGAAAAGTGGAACACAGACTTTGATTCAGGATGATTAATGATACAATTCAAGATAACATTGATGACAACTAACATGTATGCCTTCAATTCACAATCTAGAAAATTTTGAAGAATTATAAAAACAACAAAAGTTATATATAATTCTGTAGAGCCTAAAAGTTAAAACAACCGGATCTAATTCACATAATTCATCAACTGTACGACAACTCTTACAGTGGCTTTGCGCCGCCATTTTCTTGAGCAGAATTCACTGGAGTTGTGTTGCCGCTCCTCCTTGAGCTGCTTGAGTGGTGCCCGGTGATGGTCCTTCCCATGAATTTTCCGGCTTTGCTCAGGCCACTGCCGACAGCTCCAAAGCCACTCCCAACAATCCCAACTCCAGCACCAATACCGGTTCCAACAAGCCCCACTCCGGCTCCAATTCCAGTTCCCACCATCCCAACACCGGAACCGACAAGCGAGGCGGCTCCGTCAAGGGCATCCATTGTGCTTCCTATGACTCCGGCTTCTTTCAGTTTTTTTCTCTCTTCTAGGATCCTCTTTTCTTCTTCAAGGGCGGCCAATTGATCTTCCTTGCTAAATTGATGATACAACACCTGAAATTTCATGATTTTTCTAGTTAAGCAACACGTGTATAGTGCTTTTCCTACCGAACACTAAATCAGATGATACATGTTATTAACATCTAAAAAGCGCAGACGTGGAAACATGACAAGATACAAACACAAGGTCATACAAATTTTCAAAATATGTAAGACACGACATTCGGGGAATACATGCAAAATATATAATTTTATATATTTATCATGTCATATTTTTTAATATTATATATTTATTCTATGTCAAATATTTATTCTCACCGAATTCAATAATTCTTGAGTATGCTACTTTGGTGACAAATAAAAAAATAAAAATGGGATGTTGTCTGTCCAAAAATGTGTCCGCCATGTATCTGGAGCGTTTCCGGAACACATCACCGATACGTGACCTCTTGAGAGGTGTCAGTGCTTAATAGATTAACAAGCAAATTTCACCATATAAAAAAAACAGTCGAGACACAATATATATTGGAAAGAAATAGACACATAGGAAGGCATGATAGTTGATTACAGATGAAGAAGATTTAAAAATAGCAAGTTGAAATGTTCACCTTGATTGTAAGAGTGCCTCTATCCTTTTTATCTTTTATTTTCAGCATATCAAGAGAAGGAAGGAGTCTCAGTTCAATCTCCTTTGGAGTTTCAGCTTCCAGCTCAATCAATGGCAATTTTGCTACGCCCAATCGCTTGTCTTGCCCAATGTCTTCGTCAAAAACCTGTTTGAAGGGATAGTGAATATGTTTGTGTCAACAAACGCAAATAGAACATCTAAATTGCAACCAGGAAAACACAACTAGAATTCGAACATTTGGCAGTTTCAGTTCATTTCATTTCGACTACTATCTGAATACTATTTCAGTAAAAACTTGAACCTCTTAAATTTGATAAAAAGGGGGTACACATATTTCTCAGTTTTCCCAGCAATTTAGTGAAATGCTAGCATGTCCAAATCTAACACTATGAATTAGTCCAAGTATCACCCTAGCATTGGTGACAGGCAACTGCTTAAATTCCACAAGCTTTTACCCTAAATATAAAATAGGGGCAAAACTTTTCGTACATAACTCCTATCATTTGGAACCATGTGGTTTGTGGACACTGTTACAATTTTCATCCAAATTAGCAGAAAGTGCACACACCCTTGCGGTGAGAGTAAACTATTTCTTAAAGAAAAAATATCCTAAAAATCTACAAAATTTAACCAAATAAAAAAAATAAAAAGCTTTCAATTTGAGGATTTAAGGGTGTATTAAAGGAGTCAACTATCTAATTTCTTACAATAGTTTGTGATTCTTATATTACGTAAAGATTTCTCAACTTAATTTTCTTTATATATATATATCCATAGCATGAAGTAGAGGTGGGTTCTAATTTTGGTCGAATTTGGTGAATATAAATTTATGAATATGGTTTTGAACTCATAAATGCCATTTTTTTGTTAGGTTTATTTTATTATTCTATTTCTTCCTTTTTATGTGATTTCTTTTCAAAATTAATCTCTTACTCCACAGTTGTCCTAACCTCCTCAGCATAAGGAACTCTGTTTCCTGTTTAGTTTGCTAATAACAGCCTTGTTTGCATTTCCCTTGTCAACAACTTTGTGTGGCATTGGGTTCATTCTATGAATATCGATTTTTATTGTACTTTCCTTCTATTATTGGCTTTTTTCATATTTATTTTCAAACTCTTATTGCTTGAGAGTTCTGTAGAATTGAATATTATGATGGTTTATTGTAGTGACATATATGATGTTGGAATAGTTTTGAAATATTGATAATTGGTTGTTTTCCAAATTAAACCAAACCACTAAACCTTGTGTCCCAAACCAACCCAACCCAATAATCTAAACCTTGTGTCCCAAACCTTAGATTATTTACTGTTTGTTTTTTTTTGTTTAAACCATCTACTAGACTAAGTTTAACAAGACCTAAGACAAGCTCTTCATATGCATACTCCTCGTATGCTTATGCGCATAAGGCATACAAAGCGCACCTAAGACACATGCCCCACACTGTGATGTGCACGTCTTTGGGGAGTACACCCTAAAAATCAAAGCCTTGATGCATTTTGCCTTAGCCTTGCCTCAGTAAAGCCTTTGAAAAGTAATTCACAAAATAGCATAGTAAAAAGTACAGGTATATGGATAAAAACCTCGAGAATAAGAGACTGTGTCTCCTTGTCTTCTGCAATCAACCCAAATGTTTGATTCCAAATGGGGTTCAGGTTATTTTCAACCACCTTTGATTTAACCTTGAATAATGGCCGAATATACACAACAACGTAGGGATCCGATTTTCCGATCATTTCCATGTTCTTCAGATCATTTGCCTTCACTAATGTTACTGTAAGCTTACCCTGTGGTTTAAGCTCAAGTTCACTGAATTATAGGCAAAAAGAAGGGTTAGTTCCAACTTGAAATATAACACAGTAACGGAGGGGAAAAAAAATTATATTACAGATTCAGTTGATGAACTAAAACATCTAAAACTGGGGAAAAAAACTTGAACTGAAAAGTGTTTAAAGAGATGTATGATAAACAAATAATTAATTTTTTCATCATGAATGAGCATCAACTAAGTAGAATAAGACCCTGAATGGGTTGAACTAAGAACCTCCCTAAGCAAGAAGGATCCTAAGACATGCTTAGATTCTCCCTAACCTAGAAGGATCCTAAGACACACTTTGTTTCTAGAGACCATAATGGATATATGCGATTCAGCAAGCATCTATAAAATTCATTAACATGGCTCAAAACATCAACACACCTGCTGCTCGTAGAGTCACAATTGTGGCCATACTCACGATGACCAATTTTTTAAGAGAAGCAAAAGAAGCATAAAGTTCCTAATTTATAGATATTCAGCCAAACTATCCACATGGACAATGCAAGAAGTTAGCAGATTTTTATTATCCAATATTGCAAATCCATCAACAAAGATTTAAATTTGTATTATCTCATCACTCAACTAAAGCAAAAGATAAGTAAAAGAGACTCCCCGTAACACCTAACAAGAACTCTCGGGAAATACAGATTAAAAGTATACATATATATATATATGATTACCTTGTATCCACAGGTATACCACCAATAGGAACAACAATCCTGTGGGGCCACTGAAGCATGTCTGTTACAATTGTATTCACAGTATCCTACTCAATTTGACACAACAGGCACAATGAGTCAACATGACAATAACAATCATTCAGTGAAAAAAAAAAAGAAATGGCAGTAAAAGACTTTAACATCATAATCAAAACTTACATCAATCATATCTGAAATTCCAGGAAGGGCCGTTAAGCTTCCGCCAACAGCCTTCACTGTATAGTCAATTTTAGGCTTTGGCTGAATGAAATGCAAAACATTCATTATTTTCATCACAAAAATAAATTATAGAACACATATTCAAAAAATAATATAATTTATTGAAGAATGACTAATTATAAACTACTCTCCTTGCCAACAAGTCAGTCACCAAATATTTCAGTACATTCTCACTTCCACCATGGGATGTATATTCATGTGCTTACTCTCTGGATTTAGAAGCATGCTATCCAACACCAAAGCACACTTTATTATGAACACTTTATAAAGATAGAAAGATCCAAACAGTAACTTCAACCAGCAAGGAAGAGACTCAACTTTCAAACCAGAAGAATGGTTACGTGGCAAAGACAAGACTAATATTTAGATATTACCCAGTATTGGCCTTAATTAGTTGAGGATATTGGGAGGGGTGGACAGCACACGAACCTAACTGTAGGAAAATATGTATAGCAGCAGCTCTCAAACTTGAAACTGTATCTTCGCACTTGTCATCCCAATCTTCTACTATTGCACCAAGCACCCCCTTCTACTTGGCAAGGGTCAAATAAGAATTTGGTGTCATACATTTAATTACATTTTTTAGAACAACTTCCAGCCAAAATTTTCCCCAGTTAAGTGGAAATGATGTGATCAATCTCACGACATCCCATTATACAAAGATAACATATCTTTAAAATGCAAAGACCATCCAACATTCCAAGTTATAGAGAATGAAACTAAGTAGAAAATAATTAAAAACAACAGGAAAATAATAGGCCAAAACCCCTAATGTAAACACTAAGCACATCCAAATATCCTAATGGAATACCTCAGAAAGTAGAGCAACAACAACAGCAGATATGCAAGGAATATCTTCAGCAAGTTGGAAGATAACACGAACAACTGTGAAAACTTGAAGATCCTTCAACTACAACCAACAATAAAATAATGATATTTTCAATCAATGTCCTCAAGTATATTATAATTAGAAAATTAAAATAAATAAAAAAATTACCCAACACTGAACAAATCCAATAGAAGGACAGACCATTTAAAACTAAACTACAAAACCGTTAATGCACCAACCTGAATGGGTATTGAAGCAACCATTGCAGCTTCAACACCTAAAACGATGTTTGGATTACCACCCCATCTGAAGTCAATATCCATGGTAATTTGACCTTTCTTAAGGCTTTGAACACGAATACCTGCATTTGTTAAGTAATTATGCACATAAAAAATCTAAAGAGAAAATGTGCAATGCTTTATAGAAAATCCCAAGCACTTGGTCTTACAGCACAGAATATTGCAGCACCGACAGTTCATGGTTCTTGGCCTATGTTTTCAAAAACTTCAAGTTGATATAACCTATGAGATATTGTTCAGAAACTTTGAGTTGATACAAACTTCTAACATCGACAATCAACCCTTCGTTTTTTTTTTGTCGGCAACAATCACAATCAACCCTTCTAAGATAGTAAATTCATCCCTAAACAAAAGCCCATTGATTCTTGAACCCTAATCCCTAGTTAACCTATCCTAACAGTCCTACAACCCTTGATAAACCACTCTTAATGAAAATCAAGTGAGCCTAAAAAGTTATAAACCTCTTCTAGTTCAAGTCCAAAATCCTTTCTTAATTGCCTCTTTTATTCATAAACCCCTAAGATTGTAGGGCAGCTTTATTAGGTTGCATCCTACATCACAAACAAGTTATAATCCAACTATGAAAACAGAAGCAATACATCATTCACTTTATTTAAGAATATACCCAAAGCCAAAGGAATTTGATACTGTATCTAGTGCCACTCAAGTCAAGCAACAAATACATTCTTTGCAGGGCAGTCAAGAAAATCAGAAGGTGGGGATGAGTATGGGGTGTTTTGGGAAGATGGTTAAAAGTGAGAAACAGAGAACACATTTAACATAATTCATAGGCTTCAGCTCAAGCTTTCAACAATGTGTAGCAATAACTTCTTAAGTTGCAAGAAGGTAAAGGACTTGTTTGGTTTGTTTTTCAGAAAAATTTTTGGGAAAAATTCTCTGCAAACAAATTTTCAAGAGTAATCAAACCAAACAAATTTTTCCAAAAAAATCTCAAATTTTTGTTTGGTTACCTACTTTTCAAAATTACTCTCTCTCTCATACACATCAAATCAATCACTTTTTTTAAAACTCTCTCTCCCAAAACAATTTTCCAAAATCATTTTTGAAAAAAGGTAAACCAAACAAGTTTTCGTACTTTTTATCTCAAAAATTACTCTACAAACAAAAACCAAACCAGACCAAATGTTCCACGTTCTTATAGTAATGAAAATGTAACCAGTTTGCTGGAATGTACGAAACATGTTAGGGACTGTTTTGTAGTTCTAAAAGAGTGCTCCGAAGCTAGACAAATGACTTGCTTCAAAGCATGGTTATTAAAATGGCAATCCGGATCGTAGGATCGTACAATCCTATGATCCTACATTGCTAAAATGATCCAGATCATTGTAGGATTGGTGATACAACGGGATCGCAAGTAGGATCGTATAGGATCGTAAGTAGGATCGTAGATTTTGTGATTTTTCACTTTATTTTTAATAGAAAGTAGGATCTTACGATCCTACGATCCGATCCACGTGACCCTCTCATTGATCCTAAAGTAGGATCTTACGATCCTGCTATCCGATTCACGAGACCCTCTCATTGATCCCACCTAGGATCCCGATTGTAACAATCTTGCTTCAAAGTTGATGTTTCTAATACTAGATCTGAAGAAATGATCTTTTTTCTCAATAGATCTTCATAGATCTCTTTCCATCGCATGGCCACAGATAACACTATCCACATCACATGCTTAGCTGGAAAGATCTGTTGTTAAGTGAAGAAGCTACATGGGAATATTATACACTGCTTGGTTGATTTTAGAACCATGTAATGCTTACAGTTTTCTCGTGAAAATGTACAATATATCATAACAGAGCCTCAAATGGAGTTGAAACAATTGTTAATTGTAGAGAGTATAATTTCAGTCACTGAATAGTTGATGGTATGGCCTGCATGGGTAATACACAAGACATCCCAACAGCAGAACTTCAAAACCAAGATTCTATGAAATGATTATAAGCTTGCTGAATTCTAAATATTAGAGAATTAATCATTACACGACTCATCCTACAAAACTTGAAAGCCACTTCTAAAAACCTTGATGATAGATAATATTTTAGAATATCGATAATCAGACATACACAAGCAAATTCATTCATCCTTGTAAGTTGTAGACACCTCATTTTGACGATCTTTAAAACTTAGATACTCTTCTAGAACACCACCGCCCAATGACAAAAAATACATATATATATAGTCAAATTTTGAGAAAACTGTAAAACAGTTCCTCTTGCTTGGATTTGGACTGAAATAACCTTTAAGATTGGCCAAGGGCCTCAAAATACCCATGGGAGAGGTTTTCTGAGCATAAAATAAATTTGTAAATTGACTAAATGCATCCAGGGCTCTCCCAAATGGCGTAAACTTCCAAACATTATTTTATGTGGAAAAAAAATCTCGATCATTAAGATTCGTAAACTTGAAGAAATGAAAATTCCAATAAATCATAATAGAAGGCATTATGAGAACAAGAAAAACAATACAAACAAGTAAACAATTGAGTAAATAAGATAGGAAGAAAAGAACAAATTTAAGCAACATAAGCAGGACGGATGACTGCTCTTGGACCGAGTACAAAAAGCAAGAGCCAAATTAAGCTCTAGATATTGATCATACCTTCAATTTTGGGTGCCACATTTCCAAGAGAGAATTTGTTGAACTTCAATGAAGTAATTCCAGGAGGACGATATTCTTCTAATAGAGGTTCAACAGATTCTTTTATTACCATCGTTGCCGCCTGAGAATAAAGACAACCAAGAAAATTATGACAAAGACAATTAACAAAGAAGAAGCTAGAGCACAGCTGGCAATAATAAATATGGCAGTGGTTATCAGCATGAAGCAAGCACAAATTATAATGAAATAAATTAGATTTCAGATAACAAGATGAAGGTCTTCCACGCATCACTTTACTCAAGACAGTATCTCCTTTTCTTTAATTTGCAGAGAGGCCTGGGTCAAATGTCGACACAGACACGGAGTTTCCACCAAGGAAACCTCAGAAAATCAATAGTCCAAGACACTAAAACATCCACACAATTTACATGTTGTGTAAAGCAAAAAGCATTGTGTTTCTATGTACAAAAGAGCGTTTTCATACTCTAAAAGCAAGCATTTACATTTCAATATATCAAACAATATGATATTCAAAATATGCATTTTCATCTATACTTTATCCTACCAAAATAAATAAATAAGAATCATACTAACCTTGACTACATAAAGGAAAATAATTCTTTTCTTCTTTTTTTAAGCAAAAAAAAAAAAAAAAGAAAATAATTATTTTCTTCTTTTTTTAAAAAAAAAAAAAAAAAAACAAGATCCTTCAAAAGTATTTGTTCCCTTAAATGTCACATAAAGGCACAAATACATGAAAAAGATATGATCCTAAACAATAGTATTCATGACAAAAATCAGTTCCACTGTGTGGTATTTTGTCAAATGGGTTGGCATTTTGTTTAATGGGCCCATTAAACTTGCTTCATTTTCCATCGTATATTCCCTCCCTTCAACATCTAGCATTCTCCTCATTTTGTTGATAAATTTGAATTTTGGAAGGGAAAATTCAAGCATGCCATACGAGAGGATAAGTATAACGCCATTTCTCAGAGTATATACTTAGAATTACTAAAAGAAGGAATCAGTCATCAGATCGCAGCACATGGTCAGGAGCCTAAGGTAAGCTCCAGCAACTGTCTTCTCATAACATAAAGGCACAGCCATCAGGGGACTTTCTATTATTAACCAAAATGGCTAATTATTCATGTTCTCCTCCTCAGGCTTCAGCCAAAATCAAAGATATATTTGTCATCTTGCAATCAAAATTGTGCCTTTATGGGAGACAAGTCACAATTACGCAACCTTTATGTATTCTTTTACTCTTCTCTCATGTTGTGTCATTCACCAAATTAGACTCACTTCATCATGAGTCTCAGGCTGAGGTTATTCCATCATGCATCCAATAGTGTATCACCTTGATGCTCTAGAAATACAAAAGCAATCAAATATAATAACAGATGTATTAAGGGTTAGAATGGTGATGATGACATTTTTTTAACAATCAGTAGAAGAGGAATAGGGGACAGTTATGCTGCATCATGCAATAATGAGACTCAAACACACCCAGTAATGAAGCATCTCATCCACTAGGTTAACACTTGGTTGATGGCATTTGATAAAGTTCGTTTTAGAACTGTTGAACCTGCTAAATTGCAAATTGGTATGCATTTATCAACTGCAACACTTCCTTTTGACCTTGGACAACATTAAAAAGGAAGTGCACATTTTGAGGGGCCTGCTGAAGGGGTAGCGGAATGAACAACATCTTTTATCTTAATAATGATGGCATAGAGAAAGGAAAATGAAAGATATTTAATAAGAAAAGCACAAAGTAATATTTTAGTCTTTAACTTCATATAGATACTCTGTTGTATGTTGTGCTATGTGTTGTGTGCATATGAGATAGGGGGAAGGCAGTGTGGTGATAGGGATAAGGAAGCAATTGAACTATCACAAGGTGTGCAAAGCTCATTAAAGACAATCGAGAAATATATCTCAAAAGCAACAGAAAACAGTATGAAGCTAACAGTCATCAATATAAGTAGACGAAACAGAGAACAAGTCAAGAAGATTACATCTGCAACAAATGGCCACAGTTTGTTCAGTTGTTTGTTCATCCATTTCACCTGAAACACAAAGCCAAATGAAATAAGACAAATTGAACATTAACATGTCAAAAAACATGCCAAAAAACCCAATAACATTAAAATAATTCATAGATGTACCACTTCTTAAACCATTTCATGTGTGAGTAGTTAAACTTTACATTAGCATGTTCTCCACATTCTAAAAGTAAACCAAAAAAAGAAAGAACACATTTGACTTAATCTTCTTGAAAATCAATAATTTGCTTGTTTCCCACAGTGGAGATCAAGTGTAGCTTCATTGGTGAATAAGAAAGGAACAACTTAGTGCCTCATATCCAGTCAGACACCAAAAATTGTATGTATCCGAATTCCAACTAATATAATGGGGACTAATATTCTCATCAATTTGGGTCCTTTTGTTCTTGTCTGTGCTTTTGCTCACTAGTACTTTTATTACAATTTCTCAAGTACTTCGGTCAAATATGTTATGTAGAACTTCTCAATCTATTCATCTAGTTAAAATTTGCTCACTAGTATTTCTTTTGTTCTTCCCAAGATTATGTAAGTTCCACAAAATTAAAAATAAGCTGCATATCAAAAGCAATGCAAACAATTTTTTTTTTATTTTTTTGATAAGCATAAATTTATTAAAGAGGGCCCCAAGGGGGTGCAACCCGCGTACAAAAAAGACCTATAAGTTGTATGCCAAAAACCTATTCACAGACATCTTCACACCATACTAACCACATAATCACAAAAGTGACCAAGCACCAAGGCTTTCTTCTCCTTCTCCCCACACAAACTCCTCTCCAAGAAAACAAAAGATCCCAAACTTTACAAGGGACACCTAAATAACTCCAAACATAAGATAAGGTGGATAAGAAACCACGACTACCTCATCATGTCACAATAGACAAAAAGATGGCTAATTGTCTCAACCTCGTACTTCCACATACAACGCCAATTAACATATACTTACCTTCTCCTAACCAAATCGCCAATGGTAAGGATCTTCCCATGCATCACAAACCTCTCACAAAAAAAGGCTACCATAGACAGGTCTTATGCCCCAAACCCCCTTCTAAGGAAAGGTGGATCCCATGTGACCTATAATAGCTTCATAATTTTCACATCAAAAAGGCCAAAAGATAATCTCAACCATCTAACCGTATCCCCTCCATCACCAATGCGGATATGACATAGACAACCAAGAAGGTCCGACAATTCCCCCATTTCCAAATCATTTAGCTCTCGCCAAAGGGCAAAGGCTAATTATCCAAAAAACAGGATCACCATCAAACTTAAGATAGTCATAGGCTAAGAAGCACGAACATCAAACACTTCTAAGAAGGCGACGTGTCCGTGTCGGACATCAACACTCCTTGGACACTCTCGAACACGTGTCCGATACTCTTTTTTACGTGTCCTTAATTAAATTAAAAATATTAATTTCGGACACGCGTCCAGCACTCGTTTTATGACATGCCCGTCACTTCTTGACCATGTCTAGCACTAAAGTTTAAGAATTTGACATAAATATCCTATATTCTTAAAAACAATAATTCTTAAGAATAACGTAACGTATAATTCTTTAAATATATATATATAAATAGCTTAGAAGAATGAGGGAAATGCTACAATTATATATGTTTCCTATAGTTTGTCCAATTTTTAACTACTATGGCCCAATCCAATAATCTAAAAATTTATATGAGAAAATTAGATACAAAATTTACTTAGTATAAAAGAATTATTTAATTTTGTATATCACTATATAACTTTGTTATTAGAATCGTATGATTCGCAATTCGAATGATATGATTCAATTCGATTTGATTCAGTGGGTAATTGATACCAACAAGTTGTGTGAATCGCCAATAATAGCTATGAATCGTAGGTGAATCGGTGAACCGAATCAGTGAATCGTGAATTGATTCGATTCACTAAAATCGATATTTGGCTTCCTTTTTTGATTTTTTTATTGTTGGAAAATGGTTCACACAACCTTTTTAAGGTCTTTAGCATTACTATATGCTATCTTTTGACTTTCTCCCTTCCTATTTACTCTCAAATACTCAAATCTTAGTGGAAAAAAATAAACTTTCTCTCTCCACAATATTTTAGGCTTACATATTCAATGTTATCTAAGTACTTGCATTTACAAAATGAATTTTTTTAAAGCATCAAGTGAGATTTTTGAAAAAGTTTAAGATTTTGGTTTTTTAACTTTGTAAAAAGTTAAAAACATTGTTGTTGAGCTATTGTTACTTGGAAATTGAAAATTTGTCTTTGTTTGCTTTCTTTATTAAGAATGGTTGATAAGAAAGAGTATCTAAAAGGCAAAAGGTGAAGTGGTAAACATGAGAATCCGTGTTAACTTCTTACCTAGACCACATAATCATCATTTAAAACAATATTTTCATTGATTTAAGTATAAATATTTCATATTTATTAGATATATTTAATATCTAAGTGTGTAGATATATTTTTCTATGTAATTTAAAAAAAGTGACCGAATCTTTAAGATTCACGATTCGATTCGATTCACAATTCAGTACAATTCCATTTTAATTCACGATTTGAATCCCGATTTGACAACTATGCTATATAATATATTCTTAGATAATATTATATCAACATATAATTATTTGTGGCATGTCCAAGCCGTGTCCATGTCCTACTTTTTTAGAATTTTCCGTGTCAACGTATCTGTGTCCCTTGTCCTTGTCTATACTTCATAGCTCATAGGAGCCTCCCCATTACGAGCATTGTGGGCAACATTAGGAAAAGCCACGTCCAATATCTCCACACTACCAATGTCACCTGTTCTCTATTACCCACCACAAACTGGATGAAACTGGAAAAGAAGTCCCACCCGTGAATGCCCTTCAACATTTCCACACCCCATCACTACACTCCCTTCAACACTTTTCTCTTCACATGCCAATCTCACAACCACTTCCCAATAAAGCTTGGTTAAAAACAGCAAGCTTGTGAATACCTAAATGTGCCTCTCTCAATGGGGTGTAGACAATATCCCAATTCACCAGATAATATTTGAATTGCTCCCTAATTTTCCCGACAAAGTCTCTCTACAACTTCTCCAACTGCTTTACAACCGGGCCAGAATAGTTAATAGAGACATGAAATAGGTAAGAAGGCTAATTAAAGTACTTTCAGTCTGAGTCAACCTAGCACCATTGGACAAATACTGCCTCTTCCAACTTGGCAAATGCCTTTGAAACCTCTCCACCGCCAAATCCAAAACCAACGTCACCTTAAAAGGAAAATCCAAGGAGGAGTCACAAATATGAAGAAGGCAATGTCACAACTTTGCATCCCAGCATGTCAATGAAAGCCCCCACATGCACTCCTTCTGACCAAGAAAATACTAGGTTCCCCCAAGTTTATTCTCAATCCAAAAACTGCCTCAAAGCAAACATTTATCAAAGCTGGCCAATATTAAATTCCATTAACCATCCAACTAAATAACTAACATCTCAAAATTATAAAAGTTTAAAGAATTAATGGTAGCCAAAAGAAAATAACTGGCACAAATTGCATAAAAAAACGTAGAAGAAAGGGAAAAGGTCGCCATTCAGAACTTGAAAACACACTAACCTGTTCAAACACAGGAAAAGAAATCCAATCAGGAAAATTGTCGCCACAAATTTTCTTCAAATCATCTCTGCTGAGGGACCCAAGAAGTTTAATATCAACAGCCTGTCAGAGAAATGAAATGAAATGAAATAAAAATGAATTTAAACACAATGGTGTACAAGGATTGAGCATATAGTTTGAACAGGAATATGATTATGATTCAAAACAATCAAAGTGGCCCTTACTAGAAAACTAGTAAGTAAAAAAAAACCACCTCAAAAATTATAGCTTGCGCTAAACATTTCTTCACTAAATTATCAACTTATATGTAATCCACTTTTATGAGAATAACAACCTTCTTACAATTTTTTTGTTGGAGTTATCATCTATGTATAATAACCTCTCTTGTTTTTCATGTTGTCAATACAGGGAAAACAGTCCCTTGCCTAAGAATCAAACACCCATAAATTAACATAGTAACAAGAGCAAAACAACATCCCACCGACCTCAACTACAAAGTAGACAATGATGTGCAGTTCTGCTGGGCTAATATAAATAGCCTGTGAGGGCCGGTAGTGGATCTGTTCTTTGAACCTTGGGCTAATATAGCTTTGCCCTTGATACTACACGAATTCAAGGGGGCGTGGCGTGCCCGTGAGGGCAGTGCATTTGAACCTGGTCTATATATATCCCATGAGGGGGGACATTGGTGACTACTTTGAAGCCCAACCAGAGCTTCTAGGCACATTGACACCCAGATTTTGGCATGACCATGCTGCTTTGGCCACAACCTGCTGGCATTGACAACCCGTGGGCAAGGCAAGTCCAGTCCTAGGCACATCTCGGGCCAATGGCATCATCACAGATTTGGCCAATGAAGGTAGGACACTGGCTTCGCTGAAGCAGCCCAAAGTCACATTCCTTATAAGATCATTAGCATTTTGACACCATCGAACAGTGTGGACAGGCCTGAACAGAGCTTCTAGGCACATCAAGGCCAAGCTTTTGGCATTACCACACCGCTTTGGCCATGACCTAATGGCAATTATAGCGAGGGGAGGGATGTGTTCGGCAAGGCAACTCCATTAGCCACAAAGTCACATTCCTTGGCCGATGAAGGTAGGACACTGGCTTCTCTGAAGCAGCCCAAAGTCACATTCCTTATAAGATCATTAGCATTTTGACACCATCGAACAGTGTGGACAGGCCCGAACAGAGCTTCTAGGCACATCAAGGCCAAGCTTTTGGCATTACCGCGCCGCTTTGGCCATGACCTAATGGCAATTATAGCGAGGGGAGGGATGTGTTCGGCAAGGCAACTCCATTAGCCACAACCCGTGGGCAGGCCAAATACACCACTGGCCCAAGGTTCAAAGAATAAAATCACCACTGGCCCTCATAGGCAAAGCTATATTAACCCAGCAGAACTGCACATCATTGTCCACTTTGGGTCCAAGCCCTTGGAGATTTGTCATTTGGTCCATCCAAACACACCAAAACAGATGACATTTGAGAACTGACTATGAGTTGGCACTGTTTAAATGCCAAGTCCCCCCCCCCCCCCCCCCCTCAAATCCCCCCCCCCCCCAAAATTTTCAGTTACAAATCAAGCCCAGAACCAGAAATGGATCAAAATCTGACAAACACATGAGCAAACTCATAGTGAATTGCAAAATTAGGTTACCTTGGCGATACGTTTGTTGCTCCGGTACCTCATCATATGACGCCAACCCGCCATTAAAGCGATCCCAAAGATCGTCCCCATAAAAATCCCAGAAATCAAGCCCATTTTCACTCGATTCCGAACCAGTTTTCCTGAGAGAAAAAAAAAAAAATCAAAAAATCGAAATGACAACCAAATCCAAAATTACACATCAAACAAATCACCGAACAAACAAAAACTCTTACACTGATTTTAAAGAACTCGAAAAGCAGATCGATGACAAGGAAGACAAGAGTGATATTGAGTTTTCTATATCTAAAAGTATCGATCGAACCCTAGTGTTCTTGGCATTTCCTCCAAGGTTGAAGAAGAAGAAGAGACAAAGAAAATGAATATTAAAGGCGTGAAGGGCAGTCCGTGTTAAAAAAGTAAACCCATTTAAACACCGCTAGAAACACAGCATTTAATTCCCAGATTTTTTAAATTAGTTTTGATCTGTCTCTGTCTGTCAGTTTCTCAAAAGCGATTTTGCACTTTTTTCCTTGAACTTTTGTATAATGGTACATGTCCTTTCTTCCCTTTTTGGCAAGTTTTTTCCAAAGATGATGGAGCTTCTCTTTATATTTATGGATTTGTACACTCCTTTTGTTTTTATTTTTGTTTTTGTTTTTGTTTTTAAGGAGGAAAAAAATAAAATAAAATAAATAGATTGGAGATTTGTACGAAAATAAATCATAAGTTTTAATTTTGTCAATTTAAATTTAAGTGATTTGTTTATAAAGTGAAATTGATTAAAATTTTATATTTTAATTATTAAACTCAATGTATTTGTATTTGCAATATTTTTTTTGTTGGATTTAGTGAATAAAATATATTTTTTTAATATTACTTTATAAAAATAGGCGATAGTTTAAATTAAAAATAAGTTAAAAGATTGGAGTTTAAATTAATAAAATTAAAAATTCATGATTTATTTTGTTATAAAAATTAAACTCTGAAATTTCTTTTTGTAGTTTTTTCTATCTTTTATTATAATTCTATTCCTCAATAAAAAATTACTTTTGGTTAATTATTTTACCCCCCTCATCTATCACAAAAAATATATTATCTTACTTTGTTTAATTTGAAAATCATACATTTAGATCTTTCGATTATTAAAAATTATTCAAAAGCTCCCTTCTTGAATGGATTAAAGTAAATCAATTTTGATAGTTGAAAAGTCTAATATATAATTTTAGAGTGGAATGAGATTTAAAAAAATAAAAAATAAAATTTGCGGGAATAATGTATAATTAACCTAATTACTTCTTAAGACAAAAATCTTAAAATTGAAAAACAATAAATTCTCTTCTTACACCTCATGCCATCATGCCATCGATCCATTTACATTGTTATTTGTTGTCAATAGCCCTCTCTTTCTTTGCCACCGGCACGTCACCCCTCTACTCAATCAACCACTGCCGCCCCCATCACTATATCACCACCTACAAATGCCAATTTTTTCTTTATCCCTTTCCACTCATCCTCACCATTCATTCTTATTCATAGCTTTCCCTAGATCTACCTTCTAGTAGCTCGTGTCAACTCTCAAATCTAATTCTTACCACCTCCAACCTCTTTATTCTATACTCCAAAACCTCTTATGCCCCCTTATTACCTACAACACTCTTTTCTTTTTCTTTTTTTAATGTTCTTATTACTTTTCACTCTACACACCCGTTCTCACCTTCTCTACCTACTCATAATCTATTAATCATATATCTAAAAACCTTAGCATCATTCTCTTGATCCTAGATTGATCTTTCTTTCACTAGCTTATGATTTACAAAGGAAATGTCGTGAGAGTTTCACAGTGGTGGTAGAATGCGGTGAGAAGTGGAGGCATTGCATGTTAAAAGTAAGTCAGGTGGTAGGGGAGAAGTTGAGTGGTGGTTAGAAGTTGTAACCCCGAAATAATAACCATTATTTATCCCATGACAATTATTAAATAACAATACATTTCTGAACATAATAATATCCTTTCATTCATATGATTTCATTCCTTTACAAAAGTGTAACACATGCAGTAATACATTCATAAGTCCTATAGCATGTGTTATAAGCAAAAGATATAAAATAAGAGTTAAACAAATAAATGAATGCTTTAATGGCTACAACTTTCCAAGTCGATGGTAGGTTAAAACAAAAGTGGGTTTGAAACTCAATACAAGTAAAGCTCTAGACTTGTACAAAATAAATACAATAAAAACAAAACAAGAAACTCTTGGCTCTAAAACCTCTCAAGCTATGGCTTTGGCGGAGGCATATCATTAGCATCTAAAAATGATTTTTCATATAGGTTGAGCCAAAACCCAATAAAGATACTCTAACACAATGTATAAATCTTAATAGAGTTATAAGATGAATGCATATGCAATGCTCGTGTCAAAACATTTTATATCTCTTTCCAAAACCATGCAATGCCAAGTTTATATTACAATTCATGAAATCATTTGCTTTACAATGGAAATAGGGCAATGAATACAACATTGAGAATCTCTGGGATGTGTTTGCAAATAGGCTACAAGCACTACCAATTGTCATTTTTACTGGTACTAACCAGAAAGGCCGGCACCTATCCGCGCGGGTTTCTGGACTTTCACCAAGGACACTCAAACCAACTTAATACCACAACTACACTCCCTACCCAGATTCACTAAGGTATTCACCCATTTTTCTTAAAATAATAAAAAATTTTAATGTGTTAAATATGTTACAATACTCAATGCAAATGGATGAGAAATTAGTTTCAATTCACCTAATTCTCATGTAATTTCTACAACAATCATAGTTATCCTCCACCGATAGCTCAAAACAGATATTTCTAAACAGATAAATAATTTCCAATAAAGATATACTTTTCAACATTTCAAAATATGAGTGACAATTCATATCCAATTCCATCATCATCATCGTTCGATTTCATAAAACTAACATCAATTCCATTTTCTCTTTACAAAATCAAATATTCACAATTTAGGGCAAAATCTCATTTCTTTAAAAATCAACTCCAAGGATAAAAATCTATCATTTTATCATAACTTAACCACATTTACAATCACACGATCATTTCCAGAGCACCAATTTGAAAACCCCTCTTTTAATTTCAAAGCCAAAACCCTAGGTTTTATCCAAAATTCCCAAATCACAATATTGTTTAGAAAAGCAAATAACTAAGTTAAAAACCATACAAAAATGTAAAGAAATCCCTACCTCAAAGTAAAAGACACGAATAGAGAACGGGTAGAATTCGACGGTGAAAAAAACACTAGATGCTCCGATTAAAACGAAACCCTCAACGTGCTCTATCTTTTACTCCAAAGGGTGAGGGTTGAGAAACCACTAGATCGAAATTTATTTGAGGTTAAAAGATGGTTTCTATAGAGAGAGAGATAAGATTTGAGGTTTTGAAATGTTTAGAGAGAGATAAAAAAGTGATTCAAAAAGTAACTTTTCAGAACTAATAAATGCACAGTCCGCACAAACGACCAAAACACCGCTCGAGCGACCAAAACACTACTCAAGCGACTAGACACAAAAAGAGAGACCGCTCGAGCGAACAAAGTACTGCTCGAGCGAAGAACACTATTTTCCCAGTACTTTTGCAGACCTGCAAAAGTGCTGAGAGTTCTAAAAGACCGCTCGAGTACAAGAAGGACTGCTTGAGCCAAGATCGCTCGAGCGCAAGAAGCACCACTCCAGTGAAGAATGCCATACTCCCAGTAGTTTTGTAGACCTACAAAAGTACTAGAAGCTCTCAAAGTTCGCTAGAGCGCAAGAAAGTTCGCTCGAGCGATCAGGCCAAAATTTAGGCAGCAACAGTTTTGAAAAATTAACTCCCAACTTGTTTCAAACACAACCAAGACACTCCAATGACCAATCTCAACAACGAATATGATGGAAGAAGACATGAATAACTCTCAAGACAAGAAAGCCCAGATTCAAAACAATGAACAGGTCGGGTTCAAACCAGGATTGTTATAGAAGCTGTGGCTAGAATGGATATGAGATTAGCATTTTGAAAATTATAATGATATTGAGAGAAATAATGTTAAGGACAATGATATGTTTAGAATGATTCGGGTATAAGAAAATAAAATTAAAATCCTTTGTTGCACTTTAATTTAAGTAATGGTTGTTTTGGTAATAGGCTAATATAGTTAAAAAAATCAAAAAAATTACTACAAAAAAATCAATCAGTGTGTTTGGTTTGAGTTTTTTGAATTAAGTTTTTTGAAAACTGAGTTTTTTGATTTTCGTATTTTTTTGTTTTTTGTGAATATTTTTAAAATTTTAAACATTTTTTTTTTAAAAAAGTTATGGGGTCCGAAAGATGGTTCGAAGAAATGTCCGAGATGGTAGGAAAATAATCTTATTTTTCGTCAAATTTTGGAGATCCGACGGCATGCAAAAAGAGACGGAACAAGGCGTGTGAGAAGTGAACAAAAAACTAGGCCGTGAGGTGAATTCAATGACAGAAAAATAAGATAAAACGGAGTTACGATGAAGAAGATACAAGCATGTGAACTGGTGACATTGAAACTAAAATTCTGTTCATGCATGCTACGGCGGTTGGAGAAGATGAGCTTAAATTTTATCCAGTGTTTCTCGGCCCATGGTGCTACGGTGCACCCTAGTACCTTTAGGTTAATCGAGTGGTCCTATGACTTTGGGGATGACCACCCTTAGGTTTTTCGACGTGTAGAATCCATTTTTGGGGTTAGATCTTGCAAATTCTGAGTCTAAGATGATGATCAACAACTAAAATTTCTAAGAGAATCCAATGGCAGATCAACGGTGAGATCGCGTCCGATTGATGTGAAATTTTAGCAAGACGATCATGGAACTAGGACGATCATATCTTACGATCAGAATCATAAATCAAATTCAGACGATAAATCGTTAACAACCTAACATAGTAAGAAAACTCTCATAACCGTCTCATTCTTTTTAATTGTTAAATTTTTAGATTTGTGTTCATATGTTAACATAGCTAAAACTTTAGATAAAATTTTGTTTATAGTTGTATGTAAATTTGTAATTGGTATGTTAAATATTTAAAGGTCATTTCTTTATTAGTAGCCTTAAAATCATGATATAATCTTGGAATTAGACTTGCATGTGTAGTTTGTGCCATTAAAGAGATGATTAAAAATTTTATTTGGTTTGATTATATAACTCTTCAATCTGCCAGAAACTTGTACGAATTTTTAGACAATTTTATGCTCAAAATTTTGAAATGATTTATTCTACAAAGTTGTTGAGAATGATGTTTAGTTCATCCAGGAATTTTCTTAACAATTATTGAGCTTGGTACGAATTTATACAAATTTATATTTAAATCTGCTACTGTAAGACAGATTTTAGTATACGTTTAAAAGCTTATTAAAAATTCTATATTAAGCCAAATCTGGTAATTTCTAACTAAAATATGAAATTTGAGAAGTCTAATTTCATACTAAATTTTTAGATTGTGGATCTGATTTATAAATTTAAGTATGGAATTAATTTAAGAAAATATGATAAAT